CTGTGACAGTGAGCTGAACGGTCACGGTGTGTCCTGTGACAGTGAGCTGAACGGTCACTGTGTGTCCTGTGACAGTGAGCTGAACGGTCACTGTGAGTCCCGTGACAGTGAGCTGAACGGTCACTGTGAGTCCTATGACAGTGAGCTGAACGGTCACTGTGTGTCCCGTGACAGCTGAACGGTCACTGTGTGTCCCGTGACAGTGAGCTGAACGGTCACTGTGTGTCCTGTGACAGTGAGCTGAATGGTCACTGTGTGTCCCGTGACAGTGAGCTGAACGGTCACTGTGTGTCCCGTGACAGTGAGCTGAACGGTCACTGTGTGTCCCGTGACAGTGAGCTGAACGGTCACTGTGTGTCCCGTGACAGCTGAACGGTCACTGTGTGTCCTGTGACAGTGAGCTGAACGGTCACTGTGTGTCCTGTGACAGTGAGCTGAACGGTCACTGTGTGTCCTGTGACTGAGCTGGGTGGTCACTGTGTGTCCCGTGACAGCTGAACGGTCACTGTGTGTCCTGTGACAGTGAGCTGAACGGTCACTGTGTGTCCCGTGACAGTGAGCTGAACGGTCACTTTGTGTCCTGTGACAGTGAGCTGAACGGTCACTGTGTGTCCTGTCACAGTGAGCTGAACGGTCACTGTGTGTCCTGTGACAGTGAGCTGAACGGTCACTGTGTGTCCCGTGACAGTGAGCTGAACGGTCACTGTGTGTCCTGTGACTGAGCTGGGTGGTCACTGTGTGTCCTGTGATGGCTGAACTGTGTGGCCTGTGACATTGAGCTGAACCGTCACTGTGTGTCGGTCACTGTGTGCCCTGTGACAGGTCCTGGCCAGATCTCTGACACCACCTTTCCTGCCACGGGTGATGGATGCCAACATAATTTCCTTTCATTGCTAGAGAAGCTGCTGGGAGGCTGGGTGGGTGGCTCAAGGGGTAGCACGCCCGAGGCCCTGAGTTCAAACCCAGGACCACAACTCAGAGAAGAAAAGCTAGGAGTGTGCATGGCTTAGACAACAACAGTACTAGCGGTATGAGGGCTGGAGGCATTGTTCAAGTTGCAGGATGTCTGCCTAACAGGTATAAAACCCTGAGTGCAAAGCCCACTCCCTCCCTTCCCCAAGAGTGGTGTGTGAAGAGGGCAGATGACGTTTTACCGCATAGTAGCATGTTCCTTTTGAGTTAGAACGCCTGATCTCTCCTGGCGGACTTGGAGACATATATGTGATCATCGTTCCTGAGTGACCCCCGGCCCCGGCAGGCAGGATGTGCAGGCTCCTGGCTCAGAGCCACCCCAAGGAACGCGGGGCTGGGCCTGGAAGATTCTTCTTGCAGAGTTATCTCCCAGATAGGGCAAATGTGGAGAGAGACCGAGAAAGTTGAAACAAATTCTGAATCCTCCGCGCAGCAAAGATGCTTCCTCACACCCACAGGTATTTGTACTCGCCTGGTGCGTCTCACTCCAGGAACACGCGCTTGCTTGTGTATTTGTGTCCCGCGTCGCCCCGGGTGGGGCGCGTGTGTCTGCACTGGCTCTGCGGCTGGGGCAGGCCTCACTGGCGCACTGTGCCCGCCTTGAGCTCCTGGTCAGCGGCAGTGCTCCGCCCCAGCCCCGCCCCCACCACCGCACGTCCCTGCCACAGTGTTGAGGAGGTCAGCTGCATGGCCCCGATCACGATCACGTCGTTATGTCTCCAGGGAAAGCCTCCAATTTCCCCACACTCCCATTTTGTCGCCTCCAACTGTAGGCTCAGGTGGGTGTGTCGTGTGCGATGCTCCATCCACGGATGTGAGCCACGTGACTCGCCACCAGCTCAGCCCTGGATGCTTGACCCTGTACTAGACAAGGAAGCCATCCGGAGGTTGCTCCCTCCCTCTCCTGGTGTGACTTCTGACGGGCCTCCCCACCCACCTGGCCCACTTTGTCCTTCCTCTGCCCCATGGGTTGTCTTCTCAGCTTGTCACGGTCATGGTCGCCAGGGGGGCAGCAGCCTTCAGAATGAGTGGGCTGTGATCCCCGAGCAGCGGCCACCCTGGGGTAGGCCGGGGAGCTGGCCTCGTCCATGCCCCCGCTGGCCTTCCGGCCTCCAGCCACTGCCGTGAGAGCTCCCTGCGCGCTGGGGGTGAGGGGTGCCCTGCAGCAGGGCGTCTCCCGCCCCACCCTCCTGTCCCCCATTGTTCTAAACCCAGGCTGCCCAGCCTCGCTCACGCCCTGGCAGGGGGAAATGGGTCTGTGTCCCTGGCTGGCAGGTGAATGCGTGTAGCCTGTTAACTATTCACCAGGTATTTCCACTACAGAACACGGGCGGGGTTGATAACAGCACACACCAAGCACGCTCTAAGAGAGCGCAGGAAGGAAGTGACCACAGAGAGCTGGATGGCTCAGGAGGAGAGCAGGGCGTTTGGGAAGGGCTGCTGTTGCTGTGGCTCTGAGCCCCCGCCGCCGCCGCCCAGGACCGCCTGGCTCCCTCCCTCCCCCTCACAAACGTGGCTCTGTTCTGTGGCCCAGGACTTGGCACCAAGCATGTGTCTCCTGACTTCCTTTTGTGCTACCCGGATACAAATCACCCCCTTGTCTACCTGTTAAACTCCTCCCTGGGTTTCGAAGCTCAGTGATTGCTTGGTTTTCAGACAGTCCCTGTATAGCCCTCCTGCGTCAGCCTCCTGCGAGCCGGGATGGTAGGCTGCGCTGCCGCCATTGCTCTGTGT